CACTGAAGTGTTATTTTATGGCAATATAATAGCTGAGACTGACCATTCTAAAAAACTGGAAAAATACTCTTTAATATATTGCTCTCTCCCCTCCAGAGGACACTATGTGGATTCATGAAACAGTCAGTGCCTCCATACACTATTTACATTCTGACTAGCCGGTCAAACCTTTACTTTTACCATTCTGAAGTTGTGATATTCATCTTGACATTTTCAGCATTCTGTAAGCAATTTATAGAGAATATTACTAGTACTGCAATATTCTTTCACCAAAAAATTAAGCATTCTACACACAATATTTTAAAATTCTGCATATTTTTATTTGTCAAAATAAACTCCAGTTTCAATTTTGATAATTCATTTCATAATACTTGTCCAAGTATGTGAACAATACACACAACAGCAAAAAAGATTGCCCCAGAGTAGAGAGTTAAAGAAACCCCTAACACAATCCATTTCCAGTTGGGGAGCACCTGTGGGAGCATTGTGGGGTCTCCAGAGCCTAGACCGCTCTGCTCCTATCCTACCAGAGCCCAGTTGCAGACACCTCCCAGAGCCTAGACACCCATACCCTGCTTCTCCCTCAGAGCCCAGCTGCAGTGCAGCCCCCAGACACCAGCACCCACCTCCCTACAGAGCTCAGCCACAGGGCAGTTCCAGACCAGACACTTTGCGCGCACACAGTCTAGCCATGGGGCAGCCCACAGGCATCAGCTCTCTCCATCCCTCTCTCAGCCTTTACCGTCCAACCGGGGGGAAATAGTGTGATGTGGCCCTGCCCTTTCTCATCCTTTGCCAGAGCTGGCTGGATCTCCCAGACTCACTCCCTTCCCATGGAGAATAAAGATCAAAGAGCTTGCAACCTTCAGCGCTGCCAAGCTAGGTGCACGGCTCACTGCAGTCTGGGCTCCCCTGGTCCTAGTAATGGCCAAAAATTCTGCAGGGGAGGTAGGGAATTCTACATTATTCTGCATTGTGCTGTGGCACGGAAGTCTCCCGGAGGTAACAGCTAAATGCCATCTTTCAGCAGACATGCAAGGCTTTTTTTTATGGGTTTCTATTGAGATTAGAGACAAATAATGCAGTTAACACATTTGCACTTATGTACAATATACAAGAAACCAGCTTACATTCAACCATAGGTCACATGATTCATCATCACCTAAAAAGATAAAAGATTAAAGGATTGGTAACCATTAAGCAAGACTACAAACACCTGACAATCATCCTGATGCCATAGCGGTGTTATCAACCGAATAATGTCATTTGGAAAAAGAACAAAATTTTAATTAAACCCAGTGTATGCTCAGAGATAATTTGAGGAAAATATTCAATAATACGGTACCAGCCAACACAATAGATTACTGTCCTTATTGGTCTAATTTCTGGTTATTGCCTTGGAGAAAAGGTGGCTGGGAGATGTTTAGTGATGTATAGGAGTCTATCTACAAGATCTGGTGGTCCCTTTTGGCCTCTTTTTTTACTCTGTCTTTTCTGTATCACTTCAGCCATCTGGTCCCACCTTATGTAGGACATAGAACACACCTTTGTGTTCAGTTACAAAAAACAAAAGGTCAGCAGAGAAATTATGATGCTGTACTCTCAGAATGAAATGAGCTGCTCTATATCCATCCTATGCTGTCTTTCCTTTTTTTACTATTTATTGCATACTGTACTTGTGAAGCTTACTAAAAGAATCCATTTTAATTCAAAAGCACACTTTGTATGTTCAAATATCATGTTACTTGTTGCCTATATATTATGATATGCCACACATTAAGGTATGTAGACAGCTGCATTATTAGAACTATTCATCTAATAATTGTTGGAGGGAGAGATAATAGTTCAACAAATTACTCAAGTCACATTCCTGTAATTTGTGACATCCACATCTTCAGGTGTTTTAGATGTCGGTAACATAAAAGTCCTCTTTTTCAGATTTGTTTCAGCATGCCTATTTGTGGTGAAATGGATATCCTTGCATGTGGATGTGTGTCTCATGGATATTCAGCTCCTGATCACTTTCATGACAGCAAAATATGGCTATTAGTTGGATGACAACCTTTTCCCTTGCTGTTTACAATCATTTTTGTCATAATAAAAGAAAAAACATGCATTCTATGTATATTTATACGTACGTAACATATTATTTATGTAAAGATTGGCTATTAATAGGAACACACAAACAATATATCTTTATCTTCCTTCTTTATGGTACAAATTTTCCTTTTTACAAGAGTACAGGATAAACACTGGTTGAAAACTATTCTCCCCTCACCTGCAAAGTTACAAACAGTTGGCTGTATTTTAAGCACAGTTACATATGAATAAATCAGTAGTGCCAACAAACTTCATTGGAGCTACTGTTATAACTAGGGTCAAAGATTTAGTTCAGGTTAAGTGCTCTTTTTCAGGTTCTGTGGGGCAAATGCAATCTATACTGCAGGCATTTAAAAGCATTAATCTTTTAGATAAAGAATCCTGTAAATTATGATTGAGTGGCCTGGTTTTTTAACCAGTTTTCTGCTCCTTTATGATTCAGTCAAGATGATGTGGAAAATGTTTCTCCTAATAAACTTGAGAATGCAATGTGTGGGTACCTCCTAAGCCTACCATGCTAAAACATCATTCCTCTTTCCAGAAATGCCAGCTGTGGACAGGTATCACTTTGCAGCAGCACTTGAATACCAAAGTGATAAAAGCAATATAAAGATGAATGATGGATAGGTGGAACAGATTTTAAAACTAGCATATCAACTTTTCTGGTGCTGTGAAACGGCATCTAAGAGGATGGTACTTACAAAAATGATGAACAGTGTGTCACTGCTGAGAAATTGGCCCCTTAGGGCAAGCAATGAGTGGATAATTATATGGGCCAGCTGGTAAGGAAGGGAGTATTTTTCACTGTTTATAGAGATACCTTTGAAGGATGTAAACAACAAAAAGGTAGATTTAATTAGGCTTGTCCAAGAGGTGAATTTAGGAATAAAGATTAAACCAAGCAAAGGTGAATTTAAGTTGAGCATTTAGGGGAGTTCAAATAGCAAGATCAAATGGACCGTGAAATAGTCACTCAAGGAAAGTGAGGGGAGCCTTGTTTTGTGGGTCTTCTCTTCAGACCTCCCACTCCCCTCTCCTCCACCCCACCCCGCCACAAAGAAACCACTAGTTGTTATTCCTGTTTCTTCCCCATTACCATCACTGTTTGAACTTCACTATCATTGTGGGGTAGTTAGTATATAATTCATACAAGTGTATTGTAATAAGGAAGGGATGGGAATGTCTAGGTTCTTGTTATTCTTATTATGAAACCTTAAACATTTTAGAACTATCAAAAAGCATAAAGGAGAATTATAAAAAGGTGGAGTCACTAATCAGCAAGAGAGGTACCGCTAATGGAAAGAATCAATGGCTATTGGCTATGAAAGACAGGGTGATAGGTGAGCGTGTGGATAGGTAATGTCTGGTTTGCTAGAATCTCAAAATTTCTGGAAAATGGGCAGATCTGATAATGATTCCATCTAAAGCTAGCAAGTCTTTCTTTTCCAGTCTTCAGAATGCTGATTTTTTTTTTTTTCATTCTAACTATAGTACATGTAAAAGCTGCTGATCAATACAGCAAAAGGGAAATGATTTGTATATGCTACCAGACATAAGTGTTTGAATTTAACTGAGACAGAATGGCTAGAGTTGAACAAAATGGTAGGAAATAAGTTGTAATAGTGATGAAATAATCAAAATAGATAACTACTCAAAAGAATCATATAAACATGCTCAAGAGTTGTTAAGCAAAAATATGGAATGGTTCCAGAGTTTCAGAAATTTTTTCCAAAGTTTCAGAAATTTTTTTTGTTTCTTCAAGTTCAATTGTGCAAATGAATGAAAACTGCCTATTGATGTAGAAGAGTAGATCACTGATGATCCTGCTAGTGAGCCAGTTTAAATACCATCACCCTAACTGAAATGTAGCAGTCATGAAATCATAAATCAGTGGCGCTTAAACTGCGGTCTACTGATAGGGTTGCCAGATACTTTCACAAAAAATCCTGAACATGTCAGGGAAAAAAATTGGTTGAGGGGAAAAAAGGGGGGGGGGGGGGAATGGGGGACCAAACATGTTGACCACTCCCCACCAGATGCAGCAGGGGAAAATGTCCCCGGTGGCCTTCTGTCCAAGAAAAACAGAAAATACTGGACATTTTACATGTCGAGTATTTTCTGGTTTTTTTTACCTGACAGAAGACGCAATTACTAGACTGTCCGGGTGAAAACTGGACACCTGGCAACCCTATCTATGGACCACTTGTGGTCCATGGCTGCCTTCCTGGTGGTCTGCAGCTTGAGCTCCACTTGCCCCCCTTCTACTGTCCCTCCCCCTCTCCACAGGAGGAACCCTGCGCTGGTGCTCCAGCCTCTGGCCTCTCCCCACATCCCCATGAGGTTTAAGCACCAGCACTGGCTTCCTTCTGGGAGGGGAGGAGTCCTGAGCCTTCTCTCCGCCAGATCCGCCTCGGGGGAGGGGAGGGGAAATGCTGATCCAGAAGCAGCAGCTCTCCAGGAAACTCTGGGTCAATGTACAACTGCCTGGAGGCTTTCCCTGTTACTCCCTTTGGCCAGAATCTGGCCAACAGGAGTAGCAGGAGGCTGTGCCTGAGACATGGTGCCTGGGTGTAGTGCGGGGCACAAAAGCAAGTAAGTGTCCGCACCCTACCAGGCTCCTGACCCCACAGCCACAATCCGCTCCTGTACCCTTCTCACTGGCCAGACACCTCCCCTCCAGCTTGTTCCTATGCCTTGCTTCCTGGCCAGACACCCTGTCCCCACCCTGCTTCTACACCCTCCCTCCTGACCCAAGACTGCACATTCCCTTCTTCTTATCACCTGCCCCCTGGCCAGACACCCTACTTCCAGCCTGCTCCTACACCTCACCTCCTGCCCAGATCTTACACCCCACCTCCCACCCCAATCCTGTGTCCCCTTTCCCTATCCCACTCACTGGCAGCTCTGTCCTGCACACTGAACCCCTCACTTTTGTCACCACCCCCGAGCCTGAGGGGGATCCACAAAATCCACTAACCCCAAAACTCCAGAAGAGTAAATCTGGCCCATGAGACTCCCTGTCCCTCCCCCTCACCCCATGTCGCTGGAGCACCAGAGAAGTGAGGTATCTCAGTTGGGTGCCATAACAGTGAGGGTTGTGTGGGGGGTTGCTTCTCACAGGTGTGGTCCCCAGCTGATTTGTCTGTGGGTCTGTGGCTGCCAATCCAAAAATGTTTCCTCACCCATGCCATAAATAAAAAAACACAATGAATTCTTTTGTGTTGGACATAAATTAATATTTTACTTTTTTAAAAATGTTTGATAAACTAACTTGAGAAAGGTAAAGCACTTAATATTAAATTATTAAATAGATTTCCTTTTTTACTGGTTAAATTAAACCATTCTCCTGAGCTGCAGCACTGGTAAAATAGCTGGGGCATAATTCTGTAATTAATGGTGAGTTTCTATTAGCAACTGATGGCCCATGGAAAAGTTTGCATTGAGCCAGGTGGGCCAAAAAGTTTGAACACCACTGACATAAGTGCTTGTTCCCTTTTAAACTAGGTCTCCAGCCTTAATGGCAGTTCTTTAGTATCAACTTAATTCAAGAGCACTCTCTATTTATTCTTCAATACTCACAAAATGGTAAAGATCAATCTGTGATGATGCCTTAAGAACATCTGAAAGAGAAAGATCTGAACTTCATAATCTTCTTTTACACGAACCATATTGCCTTCAATGTAGCATAAAATGAGCAATTTAAAGAATCCATGTCAGGGCCAGTTGGCATTACTTTAAAATGTTTTAGTCATAATACAAAAATCTCTTGATTTACTTTGTCCTTGATAGAGGCCTCTAAACAGTTTTTATATTACAGATCCATTATGAGATACTGCTAGTGAGCAAAAAAGAGCAAAAAACTAAAACATGAACTAAAAGAAAGAACCAACACTGAAATTAATGCAAGGTAGCTGGTCATATATGGGGAAAAATCTAATAATTCTATATATTCTATTAAGAGAAAAAATATGTTCCTGCTTACTACTATTGAATTTGCATCTGAAAAACTGAAATGAGCAGAATATTGTCTCCAAGTTGGAAGAATTCTTGCATGGCACATTCATCATCTGAGGGGGCATCTATAGGCAAAATGATAAAATGAAGCAACTTCTCAGGAGTAAACATTCTAAATTTCTGATGTGAAGATTTTCAGCAAACTATGTAAACCTTTCTTGGTTGGAGATGTACAGTTTCCAAATACATTGTGGAAATTTTTCTGAAACTTCCATTAGTCTGTTGGTTACTTGTTGGTTGATTGCCTGACTGATTTAAAAAAGAGGGTTTTGTGCCCCTGCAGGCCTATGGCAGTCGGTGGAATCTTCAGAAAGATTGTTGTTTCTTTGTTTGCTTTCAGTTATGTATGTTGAAACTTTCCAGGAGCATGAAAATGACCTTGATGAAAACTCAGATTTTACACAACAGGGGACTCCACAGAGATGCCCTGTATTTACAAAAGCTACTGCAGAAAGGTTTGACGGGTTACACGATGTTGCTACTATTGCTGCAGTTTCAGTGAAAATCTGGACTGATCTAATTGCTAACAGAGAAATGGACCCAAACAAGAACAAAAGTGAAAAATGATTCAGGGAAACTATAGAAGGTGTTACTAATCCCACATGAATGATCCTCAATGTAAAAGTATTATAGGAAGAAAACACTGATGGAATATAATCCTAAATTCATTCTTTATTTATTTCCCTTTGGAAGTCAAAATTGCAGATCCAGACATATTTGTGAAGGGAGTTGTGTGAGTTTGTTGCATTGAAATTTTGGAAAAATTGTCAAAGTAAAAATCAGAGATGATTGGATAGTTTTATTCAGAACTTTGACTATTTTAAAACACCTTCACTATTGCCATTTGAGCATTACTGGATTGTGGTTTACCATATTTGCATTGTCTAGAAGCTTTTTATTAGTTCAAAAGCAAGTAAGTTGCTAATATTGTAAATATCTAGCAGTGAATATGGAAAAACAATACACCTATCCAGTTAGTAGGCCGGGAATTCAATTGCTGTGTTTTTGCTTATGGAATTGTAAACTTTTTACATTTGGGAAGAATATGCCTTTTATGTATGATGAATAAATGTGACAGTAAAGCAAATCACATAGCATGTATTCTGTGTTCTTTTTCATTATTTGGTGAAAGAGGGAAGTACTTTTCAGAGGGGAGGGGGAAAAGGAGGTTGTGTAGGTGGGTTTAAATCCCAATAGTTCTGCTTAAAATTGAGTTTGCTGGAGCACATACCATAAGGAGACTTCGCAGTCTGATGAGTTAGGGGATTGATTACATAGTAAATACTTTCCATCTTTAAAATGTTTTATTACATGTAAGTAACAGCTTGAATGGAAGGCCTGGCTTCCTTCATAACTGTGATTCTGTCTTTCAGGTTCAGAGTCTTCCAGCAGCGCTGGCTCCTCAGGATCGCTGTCACGAACACATCAGCCTCTCCAAAGTGCATCCATTGTCCCTGGAGTGACAGCCAGCCCTTCAGGCAATGTTTCCTATACAGAGAATGGAATGAATGGCCAGGTAGCACCGAGCAACACCAGCTATATCATACTTCCACTTGAAGCTGCAGGGATACCACCTGGCAGTATCCTCCTCAATCCACACACAGGTCAGTCTGACATTCTGCCATCTCACGTTGCTTTTTTTTTAGGAAACACTGCCAACAGCATCACATACAAAAATAGAATGTCACCAGTCTGCAAAGCAGCAGCTGCTAGCACTGCCTTATTAGTGGGGAAATATCTACTTTGGTTTGGAAATCAGATTTGTTTGGATGTTTTTACAGCTGTGAGCAAATATATGATGGCTTTGCAAAGGCTCTGCACCATGGCTAAGAAAGACAAAAAGCATGTCAATATAATTTTACCACGTTGGTTTCCACTAACAGCTAAGGTCCCAATCTTGCAGAGTGCTGAGTACTCTGTTCCCATTGTCTTCCCGCTGCTTCCAATGGAGGGCATTCAGCATCTTCCAGGATCGGGAACTCTGAGTATGGGCACTTTGGAAAGGACCAACATACAATATCCAACACCATAGAAGTTTAGCATGATAACAGAAGAACAAGATTTGGAGGCTCAGTTTGAATTAGCTGCCAAGAGTTTGTATTCCTACCCAAGCTATTTGGTCAGTTAGGGTCTGCGTATTTAAGCTGAAAGTTGTATGCATACAGGCATGTTTGTATCTTGGTATCTCTACTTCTGCTTCTAACTGGAATGAAGCAGCATGAAAGCAAACAAGGAAATATGAAACACTGGGCATAAAAGTTCATCTAACTATTTGTTAACCTCCAAAACATTTGAGTGTGCTTTTGAGTTGTTGAGAGATGAATTCTAAGGAATTTCTTGCTCTCATTCCCCCACAGTAATCTGCAAACATTATGAGAGGGTTTGGGAGATGAGGACTGTATAGTTGCCTCAGTGATTTGTGTCCATTTCAGCGATCATGATTGACATGTTCTCTGGCTCTCAGTCTGCATTGCATACATTCTGTCTCCTTTAGCTGAGTTCTATTAGTTAGAGAATATTTAAAAAAGCAAACAAAGCATTACCATTTCCCACTATACTGGGAACTGATGCCTGTTTTCAAAAGGTCTTGGAAGAGCATTAAAGAGCTTTTAGTTCAGGAATGTAATTTGTTGTGTTTATTATCTCTCTCTTTATGTTAAATAAAAATCAACATTAACCCAGAAATCTTCTTCCTCAGCACTGGAAATATTTTCTTAGTCAGGATAATGAGAAGAAACTGAGAGCTGAGAAGTTTAATAAAACCATTATCTTGAAAAATCACATTAAACCAAGCTTCCCATAATAACTTTAGAAGTTAATCACATGTGAGGCTCATCAAGACAGTTCAGCATTTGTTACATGCAGATAAATATGTTCAGTTCCTATTTCTATCATGGGATTCATTTAATAACTTCTTATTGGTGTCTCCAGTCTGATTATTCTCAATAGAACCTGTAAACTTTACAAGATATTTCTCAACACCTTCTATGATGTCAGCAATGATCATTCTCTCTCTCATGTATTCCGTCTTTCCTCCAGCTCTTTTTCTTCACTTCATGCCCAAGAAGTTTGCTGATTTTTTTTTTTTTTTTTGTGAAGGGTTTTGTTTACAGAAACCCCTCATTACATCAGTTCATTTTCATCTTCCTTGTGACTTCTCCTGCCACCCGTTTTGGCATCATCCCTTCAACAATTTAAAACATTTTGTTTCTGATTTGTTCCTTTACACTTTGACTTCTCCATCATCCCTTGCTCTCTAGGATAAAGGAATAATTAATTCTTCAGTGTTTGGAAATGTCTTCCCTTCCATTTCATGAGGTGGATATAGACTTGGGCTGAGGAGGCATGAAATGACTCTCTGTGGCCTGCCCTCTGCCTTTTGGGGGGATCAAGCTGCATGGTTGGGGTCAAAAGTGTTCTCTTGCTGCTCTCCATGCCCTTCTTCTTCTTTTTCAAGCAGTTTAGTCAGTGTCCCTTTCCATTCTGAGTGAAACACATGGCGAGCATGCAACCTGGAGCAGTCAGGCTACATTTCCCTGAAAGATGATTAGCTCCTCAGTCTGGCCGAGTGTGCCAGAACTTGGACGTAAGAAACATAAATGGATTTTGAACAGCTTGAGCAGGTTGTGGAAAGAATTGGATATTGATGTGTGATTAGGAGAGACTGTCTGGGCAGTGAAAGAAAAGTACCTAATGTAGAACAGCCTTGCTTCAGTCAGGAGTCATGGGAGTCTTGTGATGTTCAGGTGAGAAACTCTATAGTTCAGGGGTTCCCAAACTTTTTGACACTGGGACCAGTAAATCCATTCATGAGCTTTCGGAGGACTACTAACATTCATTTGCATATTTGCACATTCATTAAGCAAATTACGAATATGCAAATATGGTGTTTTTGGTCCTCCCAAAGCCCCCAGAGCCAGCTTTAGCAAAGCTTTTGATACGGCCACCCACAATATTCTTACCAGCAAGTTAAGGGAATATGGATTGGAAAAATGGACTGTAATCCAATAAAACCCTGCACCACCACATCATATATTGAAAAGGGGCTCATTTATTTTCAGAAAGCTGACACCATCTTTGGAATTTTTTATCCATATTCTCATTCCGGATGGTGAATGCACCAGGTTCTCTCCATTCTGACACATTGTAGTGCCTTTAAACCTCACTGTCAGCAGTGGGGATATTTAAAAGGCACTGCTTTTACATTTTTATTCAGAATTTGCGTGCTCCCTGAACTGTCCTGCTCACCGCTGGCTGATTCTTCCCCTCCCACCCAGGCCAGCCCGGCTGTCTCTGCCAGCCGATTCTCTCCTGATCTCTCCTGGCAAGCCCTGCTGCTCCCACGAGCTGGTTTCCCGCGATCTCCCCTGGCCCAGCCCCACTGCTCCTGCCCCCCCCAGCCAGCCCTGCTTCTGCCAGCCGGTTCTCCCCCTCCCCACTGCGAGATCCCCTGGCCAGCCCCACTGCCCACCCTCCCCGCTAGCCCTGCTTCCGCCAACCAGTTCCCCAGCCAGCCCTGCGGTCTGCCCCAGCCAGCCTCACTGCCCCCTCAAGCCGGTTCCCACCCCCGTGATCTCCCCTGGCCAGCCCCACTGCCCACCTTCCCCGCCAGCCCTGCCATGTGATCTCCCCCAGCCAGCTTCACTGCCCCCGCCAGCCGGTTCCCACTCGTGTGATCTCCCCTGGCCAGCCCTGCTTCTGCCGGCCAGTTCCCTCCCTATCTCCACTGGGCACCTCCACTGCCCTGACCCTGCTTCCCTGTGGCCCATATCCAACCCCTCCTCCCCCCTCCACAGCCAGCAATAAGAGCTCACCTGGTAACCCTCACTATGCCTCTGCTGTGAGCCTGAAACATATGGCTGCATCTGCCCAGCCTGGCTGAGGGCTTGAGGAACCCAGCGCTGAAGGGGCAGTCCGGGAGCCCGGAACATCCTGGCAGCCATGCTGAGGCCCGGTATTTTTTTCCCGAGGCCCGGTACCGGGCTGTGGCCCGTGGTTTGGGAAACGCTGCTATAGTTCATTATCCGGTCTGTAATCCATACAGTTTACCTGCATTTTCCTCTCCCTCCGAAATCTCAGTTACCTACCTGAAATTTTAAACAGAAAGGGGCAAAAAACTGAAATTGCGCTACATTTTCACACACAAGAATCCAAGTGTTTATGGGAATACAACTGTCTTATTGCCCTTGCTATTTACAATGTTGTTTCCTGCTTTTTCTCTCCCCAAAATTGAAAATAAAAAGCAAAAGGCAAAAAGACTTTCTGCAAACAGAAAACTTCCAACTAATTCAGCAATATGCTTACGTTGAATGAAGTCCAATCTTCATTATAAACGAGGGGAAAATTTTGGCCCCTGCATTCAAAGACTTTTTATGGGCTTTTGCTTGTGGATTTGTAGAATGGTCTCCTACGGTCACTTAGAATATTGTTCTCAAAAGTTTAGTGCCTTATTTCTGGCCTGTGAAACTACCTTCAATTAGCAGGGATTTTTTCCCTATTTGAACTACAATACATTAAACATAATTTTATGGTTTGCTTTCCGTTTACATAGGGTTTGTGTAGACTACAGGGTTTTGTCGACAAAACTATACCTGTGTCTACACTACCACCGAGTTCTGTCGACATAATGTCGACAGAACTCGGCAGTTTTGTCGATGGCAGTAAACCTCATTCTATGAGGAATAACGCCTTTTGTCAACAGAGTTCTGTTGACAGAAGGTGTTATTGCATCTACACGGTCCTTTGCGTCTACACTCTCGCGTCGACAAAGCAGCTTGCTTTATAGACACTCTTTGTCGACTGAAACTTTGTCGACAATATCTGTCGACAAAGCCTTTGTCGACAAAAGCCTGTAGTCTAGACGTACCCATAAAGACCAAATTGGGCCTGAATATTCTCTATTCCCAATGTTAGTTCTAGGGTGAAATTTCAGCATTAATTTCTTTCTTTCAGCTTCTAACCAAAACATCTGGACATACTTTGCATAGTCAATATAACCTTCCTCTCATCTATGCATAGGGGGCAGGAGGGAGAGGAGGGAAATCTACTGAAACATAAGTGCATCCTGGCAGATATGAAGGGGTTAAGAATTAAGCTTCCTTTATGTCATGCAATGCTGTAGAGTGCATGCACACCTCTACTTTCAATCAGTTATGTAATTGCACGCTGCACTGCAGATCTATAATTTACCAGTCTAGTCCCATTTTGTGCTCTACTCTGGTGTATACAGATGCTGATGTATTTTTCGGTCTCACCTCAATGTCTGTGTATGCTCCTGTATTTAAGAATCTTTAGTAGTGGCCTGAGAACAAACCTGAAATGTCTTTGTGATCAGAATTCAGTAGGAGTCTCTCTAATCTTTCCACTGGGGTTGTCATTCTCTTGTTGCATGCAGAAGGGTATGGATATTGACTGAGGTACAAACATGTAGTCAGAAGTACCACTCAGGCAGGGATCCTGTGTACAGAGGTGCATTAAATCTTTCTGGTAGAAGAAAAATGGTGAGTTACACCTTAAAGTGCTATTAACTGACAGGTGCTAACAGGCTCAGCAGCAAAAAACAGATAGCAGCTGCTTTAGCTGGAGGCATTGTGAGCTAGGAGCACTTTACTGCTGAAGATCAATTAGTAAAACAAGAGAGCTGCCTCTAACTATGTGCCTGTCTAGTTTCTTTTAGTGGATGCTGTGTTCAGGAAAGTATTCAGCAAATTAAGCATATGTTGTTTCAGGCCAACCATTTGTAAATCCTGATGGTACACCTGCAATATACAACCCTCCCAGTGGCCAGCAGCCAATTAGGAGCCAGCTCGTGGGACAATCTCAGCAGCAGCCTTCATCCCAACAGCAGCAGCAAGTTCAGCAACCCCAGCAGCAAATTGCAGGTCACCTTGTTACACAGGTATGGCAAGCTTTCATCAAGGCTGGGATGATTGGGTGTGTTCACTTTCCCCATAGAGCAGCTATAATCTCAAAAAAGCAACTAGACAAAATGTCAGAATGGCTTTTTTTTTTTTAAATAACTATCAAGAGAAAAGCTATCAAATATTTTCAGGGTGGATAGAATGACTAGAAAGATTGTAATTTTGAAAATGATTATTAAACGAGGTGGTGTATGTCTGAAAAATCTCTAGATTTCATTTGAAAACATTGAAATGTGACTAAAAGCCCTAATTATTCTTTCTTAGACAGGTGCAATATGTAATTTTGTAAAGGCCTTGATCTTTTGCAGAGTACCTTGTAATACTCACAGCTTATATTGTTAACTGTTTCTAACTTCAGATTAGTTACTTTTCACAGTTTGTTTATGGTGTGTGTGTGTGTGTGTACACATACTGAAAATGATGTAATAATAATACTATTAATATGGTCCCCTAATTTTGCTCTGCTGAGTGTTTAATTACCACATTTTTATTCTCTACTTCTCAGTCTGCTGAGGTTCAAATGTGGGACAAAAGAAAAGTCCTTAAAGGCCCAATACTGGACCCAGTTAGTTTGATATAACTTCTATCTGACTGAGGACAACATTGAAACCTATTAATAATAGTGCTGGAAGCCTTAATCATTACAGTCAGTGTAAATAATATATTGGCACAAATTGAGCCCTCTCTCTGTAATCAGCCTTTCTCATAGTAAAAGGGGACTTTTTACATGACAAAGAATGTATTCATTGAGATTTAAGATTAAGCTCTTCTCAGTAATTTATAACAGAAAAGCAAGGGCAGAATTTCAGGAAGTTGGGGGAAGAGGGGCAGCAGCTGTGCACTCCAGGATGTGGCTTGCTTTTCATCCTGTTCCACAGATGCTAAGGGAGTGAGGGAAAAGTACTTGCATTCTG